TATTTTCATAACAAGTACTTGACAAAAAACCATGACTTACTATTCCATGTCAAATTATAGACACAGAGACTGGATTGTATATTAGGCCTAGGGTGATTCAACGAGCATAACGTAATTTGAGGTTTCTAATTTTGCTTTCTTTATGGTAGGGGCACACGAGCGATTTTTATCGCCCGATCGCGCGAATTTTGAATCGCTCGAAGAACATCCGCCCGTGTTGGCCCTGTTCAGGCCGTCGACGGCCGAATTTAATCGGCCCGACCGAAATCGCCGTATCAAAATGATTTAGACTATTTTCAGGGCGATTATTTACGCGGCGATTATTGTTATCGCTCGTAGTGCGTGGGGACCGGCCGTATTTTTGTCGGGCCGATCGTTTTTCTACAATCGACGTTGTTGGTTGATATCATGTGATGTTTAAATGTTCTGTCGAGTCTCGGTACGCTCTCAAATTCGGCTACGTCACGGTGTGGCCCCTTCGTGATCGGGCGATAAAAATCGCTACGTTGTGCTCCTTCGTTATCGGGCGTATTAAATTCGGCTCCGGGTGTGCCTAGCTATGGGAGCACAAACATTCAAAGTGAAATTCATCTTTTTCGTTTAAAAAGGGGCAGGCATTGTGTGTTTAACCCTCTTATGAGATCAGGCTGAACCGTGAAACTAACCGTTCCACGAACATAAACAGAAAGTAGACACAGAAACGTATTGCTCATACGCTGTGAGGGGAATTAATGTGGTTTTACTCCGGTAGTAAAGTCGTACAGTATTCCATATGGGCAGCGGTTCAGCATCGTGACTTGTTATGTTTAGGTTTTGCAATTTTTATTATGGTTTTGCAACACGCAAGTTATTATATACTTATTACCTAGTTCGGATTCGGCTGTTAGTTAGTTTGCTTGAAAAAGTCTGTAATATGATTAACTGTAGGATCTTCCCACTCAGTTCAACAGGGCTGGTAGCCCAGACATTGTCTGCTAAGCTGCTTACTGATTTCTTACTTTAGCCTCGGGTGCGAACGTTACGTTTCAACGCCCTGCTAAGTTCTACTTATGCCCTGCGGTTGGAGCGGAGGGCTATAGTGCTTTAAGGCTAATAGCCCATGGCTTAGAATACAGACTAGGAAACGGGGCAGTTGTCGCCAACTAGCATGGTATCCCCCGTGATCTAGTATGAATGGGATATCTCTGTTAAGAGACGTACGAGCAGGAGGTAAAGTTAAATAAGTCACAAGACAAAGGTTTGTTAACAACTGGTCTGCCTCGAATGTGCGCAAGTATATTGGGAATTGCGTTACCCTAGGAGGAATATTTTCACTGTGAACAGGTTATTACCCCCCCCCACCCCCTCTTTCGTTTACGATGAGTTTTGTCGCGTTAATTATTGTCCGTTTAAGGACCTAGAGTCGGCAGGCAGGTACGGATCGCAAATTCCGCAATGGCTGGACCTGGCGAAGGCAAGTGGTGAATTGTTTGTTGTTCGTTGAATGTTGTTTATTAACCGTTAAAAAGAAATGTGACGGAATATAGGCTATGACATAGCTTATCGTCTTCGGCCACGTTCGAAACCCTCCCGGTAAGAGGTAAATGTGGTTAAATTCTTATGGCGGTTTCGAGGAGATACGTGAATTTTACGCGCTGGGCCAGTTAACAGTAATGGCCATAAATCTTTCTGTGTTTGCTGTACATCCAGGCATTTTCTTCAATTTAAACCACATCACCCAGTTTCCAATGTTCCTAAAATACTACTAAATACTTGTAGACTATACGAGGGATAACAAATAAGAGTACGCAGCAAAATGGGGAGGTGCGTTTTGTACACTATCGTGAATTTGACAATTCTGCGTTGATTAGGATTAGGGCGTTTCATAAATGGACAGACCTTTTAATCGTAAAGACCCTTAATTAATTTATAAGTATATTAATAATTCAATGATAATAATGATAATTACAAACTTTGTAGTAAACGTCTGGTCAAATTGGCGTCATGGGACCAATCCCTTTTCCGTTCTGGGGTTTACAGGGTTCCGGGCACGCGGCGGGCAGCAGGGGTCAAAACCCATTCTGGCCGATGGTAATATGGTATATACTATATATATACAATATATGCCTTTCATACACCCAATTGGGGACAGCTTTCAGCGGCCTATGTTCTGCGCTTAGTTACGGGCATCTCCGCAAGGAGGCCCGGATGTGGAGTAAGCTCCGCAATATTGTTTATTCTCGATTCGCGTTATGCTTGCCTTGCATACGCAGGTCGCTTCTGGACTTACTCGCGCTTTCTTGGCGACGGGAAACTGCTTCCGACCTTTTGACCTTAGGCATTTTCTTCTCGGCATCTTAGGGCTCTTGATCTCAGGATCATCTTCAAATTTGGCATCGAAGGTGGGGCGGTTATGGTAAAGCATAAAGACGCCAATTGTTTTTTTGTGTGGGAGGGAAAGTCTCGTTGCCATGGTAACCAACAATTTTGTGAAATATTGTTAGACCTGTAACTTGTGCTGATTATTACCCGATTTTCATCGAATTTTGGCCGACAACAGCTGGCCGATATACAGTGTTCCGTATTACTATATAATATGCTATATTATATAATATATAGTATCATTGATTGACAATCATAAAATTTAAATACACATTTAAATACCCAAAATTTTAATATCCAAATTACTCCTTTTTTTCTTTTTTTTATATTTTTTTTGCAATATTTTTTTTTCTTTTCTTTTTAGAATTTTTTAATTTTTATATTTTATTCAAAACATTAATTTCGATGAACAATCGGGTTACACAAAGTGCGCGATTACTAGGTTCTAGAATCATTTCGACAAAAAATGTGTTACCATGGCAACGAATGGACTCCGCCACACCAAAAAACGATAGGTGTCTGTCGCTTTTACGGATAACACGCATTTTCAATTCAATAAAATTTGAAGATGATCGCAGGAAGAACTGCAAAGTCTTTTTCATCACTCCCTTTTCTTAGAGCGCTCACAACAGGAAACTCTCTCTGCCCCATCACCATTCTTTATTCCAAGCCGACTCCGGGCTTGCACAAATTTACCCGACCATTGGCGGCCTGCCGAAAGCATTTCTGCCGAACAAACCCCCACTCCACTCTCCCTTTTCTGCCCGACTAGTTTCCCGTACCACCTGGCGGCGCGCGCGACGATGCCAAATCCATTAGGTTTATCCCACGAACTTGTTCGTTCGGGGGATACAATTAATGTAACCCAACAAGACAGGGTTCTCCCTACGTTGCGCAAACGGGGCGCGCGCGCCCCGTTTGGAAAAACTCCCCCCTGTTTGAATTGTTGCGCCCCGTTTAAATTTCCTCCGCCCCGTTTAAATTCCACCACAATAAAAGTTTGCCAGCGCGGCAATCGATCGTCAAGAATTGCCGTTCGACCAGGACATCCGACGCGTGTATTTTTACCGTACCACGCATGCACTGCAGACAGTACACAAGTTAACCTGCCACTAACTGTACACCGACTCGGCTATCTTATATATACAAGAACCCCAAATACCGTCTATGGTGTGGTGGCGATTTTACGCATTAATTAGTCGTACGGTAAAAATACACGCCCCCCGGACCCCCCTAGTTTTCCCCCTCCCCCCTCCCCCTATAATTTCCCCCTCCCCTCCCCTTCCCCCTGTTTGAATTTCATCCTGGGGAGAACCCTGCAAGAGTAGGTTTACAACGCGAGCCTATTCTTTTCTTTGGAGGAGCCCCTGAGTGATTCACTCAGGGCGGTTTTATGGTGCATTTTTCGAGACTACAACTTCCAAACTGGGTTTATTCTAAACACGAACATTTTTTCCGCTATCCTGGGACTTACTATTTATCACAATACTCTGTATTAAACTAATATAACCTGTTACAAAATTTCGAAGTGACGAGCGGCGATACTTTGAGCGCCATTTCTGTTGACCTGTGATGTACAGATTCCCAATGCGCATAGCGTTCGGCTAACTTCGTATGCCTGCTGTCAGTCATGACGTCATGACGAAGTTAGCCGAACGCTAATACGCTATGCACACTGGGAATCTGTACATCACAGGTCAACAGAAATGGCGCTCGAAGTATCGCCGCTCGTCACTTCGAAATTTTGTAACAGATTATTATTATCGCGCGCGGGCCGAGTTCACGTGCAGCATTCATATTCTACCACGGGCATACACAGGCGCACAGTTTATCGATCGTCTGCTGTGGCTGGCAGCAAGCCACCATATAGTTTTTGCCGAAGGGTAGACTGGTACCCGGCCTGACGCTCTGCTAGACAATGTGCTCGCTCTGCGACAAACAGTGCGGCCGCGAACCAGTCTAGCCAGAGGTGACCTTTCAGTGCACCCTGGGTTGCACGTTGGGTTAATGAGCTAGACACTGACAGGTATTGTTTTAAGCACGAACACCGTAATAAAGATTCGATGTTTTGCCAATGACCAATTCTAACACGACCAGTCGGGCTACTAGCACTCTGGTTGTATGCGACCGGACCAAGCATTTACCCGACTAGGTCGGTCGGACGTGGGTTAGTGTCGAATCCTGCACGCATGTGAGCATGTGTGTGTGCTTGCAGCTTGCCTGTGTGCTTGCTTGTGGGAGTGTGTGCTTGCACGTGTGCTTGCGTGCGTGCTTGCGTGTGTGCTTATGACAGTTATGTGCGTGCATGCTTGTGTGTAACATATATATATATTAAAATAAAGCCGTCTATATTATACACGACGTCTTTGGCCGTCACTGTCTACAATCATTGACCGACGTGTAACGTGTGGCATCAAAGACCTTCCCTACAATTGCGTGCTTGCGTGGGTGCTTGCATGCATGCCTGCGTGTATGTGCGTGCACATGTGTGTGACTAATATCACGTGTGTCCCTACTATTTCAATGGATTAAGATTTGCAACTAGTTCCTGGAGTTTGATAAATTTTTATCATTAATATGCAATTTGATATGTCTATGTGGTAATTGCTGTAAGACATTTTTATTTTTTTATTTTGTAGGAGGCACTCAAAACGTCACTGCAAGGGGTTAAAGCATCAAATGAATTGCCAGCCAGCGGTGATGACCATGATTACTACTCAAGCTTTCCTGGTTTCCGTACTGTGGTCCAAGTAGAGGGACAGAGGCTACTGAAAAAGTATAGCCAATGCATGCTGTGTAACTGTTTAAAGACGTGGCTACTTATATTGATAGTTTTGCTAATCATTAGCATCTGTGATATATTTAACGCTAATACTAAATGTTTAATAATAAAAAAACTGTGCGTTTGCATTACAATTGGTGACATAAATTTAATTGGGTTACAGTAAGCCACAGATAAACTCAGACATATTTTTACTAATGCTTACACTGTAACAATCAAACTTCCGATACTGTACATTATACACTATCTATTTTATTAAATGAGAGCTAGTTCATTATTTTGTTTTTATTATCAGTTCTTGCATATTTAGAAATTATCCAACCTAGTAGTTCACAGATACAAAATCTTTTCAGACAGATTAAAACAAAATAACTGTGACCATACAAATTTTTGTTTGCAGTATCGCTGATATCCTCAAGCATCAAGGCATTAATGTGAAACTCACTGGCGCAACTGAGATAGATGATATGTTCGATGCATTGGTTGATGCAAATGATGCTATACTGGAATCTGTGGTTAGTAACTATAATACCTGTAAACATGTTACCACTTTTCACAATTAGGAGCCAGTATATATATATATATGTATACAGGTAGCGAAATTAACGGGAGTCCGGAGTCAAATACTCCCTGATTTACTGTCGGACTACCTGATTTAACATATGCAGGAGTCCGTGTGACTCCCTGAAAATTCTGCCATACTAACTAGTTCGTTCCGGAGCACAACCTCGCGGAATTACTGTATTTGTTCAGCTAATGTCTAAAGAAAATTTGGCAGACGTGCAATTGCATGAATCTTAAAAATAAGCACATGCGTTAAATATTGTTAATAGCTTTAATTTTGAACCTCGGACTGCTGACTCCCTCATTTTGCTGCGGACTCCCTCTTTTTGAGGGTAGGGAGTCAGATTCGTTGGACTCCCTTGTTCAAAAGTTAATTTCTACCCCTGTATATATATATATATATATATACAGGGTTTCTTCTGAGGGAAAATTAGACAAAGGAGGTAATGGCCAGTTTGGTATATACAAAAAATGTCAATGATGGATTCAAAGGTGCCGTAGGCACGATGAACAATCATGACTCGATAAACGCACATGTTCATCTAAATATGCCAGAAGCACGTGGTGATCTAGTATGATTTTGGGCTGACCACTACTTTTCGAGCAACGCGGCGGGTAACCACTACAGGAACCATTTCAGGCGAATCGGCGATGTTTAATTTGACCACGGTGGTGCGCCCACTATGCCTCTTATGTATACTCCGAAAACCGTGAGTATATAACTATATATATAAGTATAGGTAATATTAATCATCAAAGAAGACGCCAGATATATACTATACTAAAGCCATACTTATATATATATATATATATATATATATTCGGTGATTGCCAAATATAGTCAATTCTCATTTCAAGTTTTTATCCGTTATAGGGGTCATCATTAGATGAGGCAGCTGGACTTAAGAAAAAGGAACAATCACTTTTGGTTTCAAGTTTGGTGCCTAAGGATGCAATTAGTGCTAGTTGGAACAGAACGGTATATATTTCTGAGACTGTAAAACTATGTTACAACTTGTCAAAGATGGACAGTTAGCCGAGTATAACTTTGTTCATTTCTATGTATAACACATTGTCTAATACAGAAGTATTGTTATTGAACTCTGTGGTGGTCTATGTTTCAGAGGAAAGACATTAAGGCAACAAACAGTCCGGATGGAAGGTATAAGCTTCTGTCTGCGAGAAACATTCTGCGACCACAGCTGAAGTTCAAGGAAAAGGTCGACAACAGAAATTTGCCATTTGTGCCGCAACTGAAGATCAAGCACAATGCCATGCAGCCGTGGCATCCTCAGGGAGATGATGATGGGGAGGATGCGGATAGACTTTCTGGTCATCCCTACCAGTTTGAACTCAATCACTTGCAGTTTCTTCCCTCGCAGTTGGAAAAGATGGAACCCCGCTGGCCAGAGTCCTTGGAAGACACTCCGCTGACGTACGTCTCCAGTTATGACGAACTTGTCAAGCTGAAAAACACACTGAAGCAGGAACAGGAGTTGGCTGTTGACTTGGAGGTAATACTAATATGACCGGGCAAAGTACTTACATGAATATACAAACAGAGGGATGATTAGAAGCTTAAATGTTACCTTTAAATTTAGGCAGTTAGGATTTTTAGCTCATCTGATGTTGTCAGATGCAGCTGAGAATTCGCATCGATTGTCCGTTTGCCCGTGGGCCCCGAGCGCGCGGACCGTGCTGGGCCCGTCAACAGTTGGCACAAATCTTAACCAGCTTCGAAACGTACAGGTCACGGATATTTGGGACAGGGGGGGGGATCGTGAGAAGGAACTCGGGAGGCTCAATTGGGGGTCAAGGTCAAAGTCAAGATGTGTTAAACGGGAGGGGAAATATTTCCCGCCTTAACTTAAGGTATAGGGAGGAAATACGAATTGCGGCAGAAATCTAAACGGCTCGACCTAAGGCTACGTGGTAGTCGGTGTATAAGGGCAATCATGGTAGTAGTAAGAAAAGCCCATCACTGGTGCCGAAATCTGCGAGGTCAACAAGGGTCAAAGGTCAATGCGGGCATCAGGCAGATTTTAGACATCTTTCTGAGCTACATTGGTCTGATCGGAGCGATTGAAAAATCTTTTTGTTTCAGCGGTGGTCCTAGCCATTTGATTGGCTTTATTGAATAGGACCATGAAATCTACTTTCTGCTGACATGGCGAAGAAGTAAGTTCAAGATAACCTTTTGACCCTCAAGAAGGAGGGTTAAACATGGACTTTGTTTTTACTGTCTGTTAGAAAGATTTGTATCTGCCAAGGTTGCTAGTAGAATCTATCATGCCTGGATGGTATGAGGCTACAATGTCACCAATGAAATTTCTAAAAGCCTAAAATTTTGTTAAGAAAGGTTTAATGCTCGCTTAAATCAATATAGATTTGCTATGGCATTCTGTACTGTCAGTATGTTAGCATGTAACGTATGGCCACTGCCAGTGCCTGTGGTGGTGTACTGTGTAGTTTTTGCCTGCGCGTTAATTAGTTACAGGTGGCAGCTCATCTATTGCACGCCGGTAGGCTTGCGTAGGTAAAATGGATGAGTGCTTACCTATTCTGTCTTGCAAATAGTTGTTGCTACTGCACGTACGATGGAGCTTGCCACCTTTATCTGAAGAACCTTAAACGTACGCGCCCATCGTCGTGGCAACTTTCATAACCGATTGCCAACGAACATTCCTTTGAGAAGTGTTGCCTGATCACATCCCGTCAGTTCCACTGTTCTCGACGTGTACATGTGGAATCACATTGGACTAACAAGGGTTTGAGCAGAAATCCTCACACTCCACCCACACCGAGTCACCGCAGTAGACGTTAGAGCAGGCGCGTCGCTCCGGCGGCACTTGTTTCTAGTCTTTATGCCTTTTTAGAACGTCATTTGTTTCACAAATTAACCGCAAAATATAGACAACAAATAATTTTTACAATTCAAAAAATTTGTTTTTTTAAATAGAGTTAGGGTTAGGCGTTACAATGCACCAATAGAAAACAGGAGTTTGCAAGCACGTGATTTGTATCAACCCAATGGGAATTTGGGAGGTATGCAAATGCAGAAGTTGTGAAATGATGTGTTAACGCAATCTGCGTAATCTGCATATCGTGCCTGAACGAAGGTGTGCACTAAGTCACGTGACTTAAATGTTACGTTTATAACCGTAGCAACAGACCTCAGATGAGCCCAGACGCTCTGCGGCTCTTGTTTCTTTCGTGTATTGGCAGCGTTGCAATGTTTTATCTGTCTGCAGGCACATTCGTACCGGACATTTCTAGGGATTACCTGCCTCATGCAGCTTTCCACTCGCACAGAAGACTTTATCGTCCGACCACACGCCGCAGTTAGAACTGCGGAGTGACATTCACATACTAAATGAAATCTTCAGTGACCCATCTATCATTAAGGTTAATGACGTTCTATTTTCTTTTTTTTAACATTACTGTAGAATTACTGTATGAGTCTTGCTGCACTATTGGTAATTGTTTGCTGTCGTACGTCTGATAAATATCTGCTACATGGCAAATGCATATATATCAGCGAGTGTGATCATCGAGTGAGATCCAGCGCCCAGGGGACTTAAAACCGCAATAAATTCAAGCATTTAGGAGCCTTAAGTCCTACCGTAATGATTACAGTGTCGTGCGTTTACGCTCGCGATAACTTGAGCTCAAGTCTTGCCTTAATACGGAGTAAGCGTTACGTCTTCGTGGCCTATGACTAAGCTGTATCACGATGTCTAATCGTTGGTCCACAAAAAATGACAAATCGGAGATATCGTCGCAAACGTACAATGTGGTTTTTGAAAGTTATACTGGCATTTTCAGCAACTCGTGGAACCGAAACATAAGGGCAATGCTTTGAAGAAGCCCTCTATCTGCTTAGCAATGCAAACACTAGGCAAACAACTAGCGGCAGGTTGCTAGGTGGGGATTTCGGAAAGTGTAAGAAGAGGCACGACTTGGTGTATTGAATACTATTCTGACGCCCCATTAGAAATAAACACATTTCACATCTGTTAGGTATTTTTATGCCATCCGTTCTATTTTTTCGTTTAACAATATGTTCATCCGAGCAGTGAGGCTAGCATTAGCCTCGTCATTCGAGCTTGCGCCTAGGTATAACAAGAAGGGGTGTTTAACGTTTCTGAAATCCCTGCAAACGCCCGGTCGTAGTCTGTTTGCTAATGTATTGGCATTGGCTAAGCGATAGAGGGAGCTTTCAAAGCACGTGACGCGGCTTGACTGGGTTCGCGCCCGGTTCACCCAGTTGTTGACAAAATTGCGGTATACCGACTTTCAAAAACCACATGTAAGCGTTTGGATCGATAACTCTCGCGCGATTTGTATTTTTGTGAGACCCAACGATTAGACACGGATGAAATTCTAGGATGAATTAAGCGCAAGGACTTGAGCCCAAAGTTTGATCGCGAGGTAGAACCCAGATAAATCGGATGAGTAGACTAAGGCTACTAAATGTTGATTTGCCAGTTTTTAGTCGTCCACTCCTATTGATACAGGTTCTCCTGATATATATAGTAGTAATATATATAATATATATAATATATATATATATAAATTATACTCTTGGACCTGGGTGGTTTTTGTCACCTCACCGTGTGTTTTATATAGGGAAACAGTGTTGCACACAGAATGCTAAATACTTCATTTAAAAACTTGTGAATCAAATGGTTCATTGATGAAGACTGGTTGTTGCTTCAAATGCACTGGTCAGCTTTCTTAAGCCGACTCGGCTACATTCGGCCTTATACTGACTAAGGGGCGTGTAGTGACTGGAGAGTAAATTCACAAGCATTCCCTGATTGGCTTCATAACTTTACTATAATTTAAAATGACACCTCTTTTACGGTGCAAGAGCGACCCATTCCCAGAACAATCCTACTCGTGTTTCTTTTGAGTAATATTCATTGTCCGGCGCTGAACTTCCTATTGATTTTTAGCATCATATCCCTGACACGCTAGTCAAATGCAGCGTTGTAGAATTGCAAGTGAGCGTCGCGTGCTGTGCGTCCCGTCCGCCGTCCATGTCCGTGCGCTACCGCCAAACAGTTGGGCAGCAAATCTTAAGACGCTGCACGGTACGGTTCGAATTGTCGGGACCGTGGGGGGGTAATCCGAAAGACGAGTTGGGATGTCGAAGCTGGGGTCAAAAGGTCAACGGTCAAGAGGTTGTAAAAGAATGGGAACATCTCCTTGCCTTAACTTATTAAGGTAATAGGGAGGAAATGCATGAATTGCGGCAGCAAATCTAAACGGTCTTCGACCAGGCGTCGTGATTAGTCCAGTGTATAGGCATCATGGTAGGGAAACAGCCATCACGTGCCGAAATTGAGGGCTCAAAGGTCAATGAGGCGACAGGGCAGATTTTAAACATTTTCTGAGGACATGGTCTGACGGAGCGATTGAAAAACTTTTTTGTTTCAGCGGTGACCTACCATTTTTATGGCTTTATTAAAAGGACCATGAAATGTACTTTCCGCTGACATGCGAAGAGTAAGTGTCGGATAACCTTTTGACCCTCAAGAAGAGGGTTAAACATGGATTTGTTTACTGTTAGAAAGAATTTGACTGTCGCGTTTGCTAGTAGAATCTATACATGCCTGGACGTATGAGGCTACAATGCCACAGTGAAATTTCAAAAGCTAAATTTAGTTGAAGAAGGTTTATGCTCCTTAAATCATATAATTTCTATGGCATTCTGTACTGTCAGTGTGTTACATGTAACTTGTGCCACTGCCAGTAGCCACTGCCAGTGCATGTGGTGGTGATAGTACTGTGTAGTTTTTGCCTGCGTTAATTAGTTACAGGTGGCATCTCTCTATTTCAGCCTGTAGGCTTGCGTAGGTAAATGGATGAGTGCTTATCTATTCTGTCTTGCAAATAGTTGTTGCTACTACATACGATGGGAGCTTCCATCTTTAATCTTAAGACACTTAAACGTACGCGCCATCTCTTGGCAACTTTCATAACGATCCCAACGAACATTCCTTCGAGAAGGTTCCTGATACCTGTGCCTTCCACTGTTTCGGCACGTATGTGAACACATTTGGGACTAACAGAGTTTACTAGAAATCTCACCACTCATCCACAGAGTCACCGCAGTAGACGTGAGATGAGCGCTGTCGCTCCGCGGCACTTGTTAATAATAAATCCTTATCACACCTTATCTGTTTTATATTTCCTGCAGCCGGTTAAGAGTGTATCCGTTGACTGTATTGTCATTTGTTCTTTCCCTTCTCACACTGCTTGTTTGACACACAGGTGTTTCACGGAGCGGATATGGACATCAGAATGCTGCAGCGGGACTTTAGTGTCTACGTCGTGAATATGTTTGACACAGGGCAAGCATCGAGAGTGCTAGGTCTTGCTCGTCACTCATTACAGCACCTACTCAGACACTACTGCAGCGTTGAAGCCGACAAGCAATACCAGTTGGCTGACTGGAGAATACGGTATGCATTCTGGCTTCTTAAATATTTCTACTTTTTCACAAAATATAAGTAATTCTGTTCACTTTTTAGCTCATCTGACATAGTCAGATGCAGCTTGTAGAATTGTATTATTGTCCGTGCGTCCGTCAACAGTTGGGCACAAATCTTAACCGCTCGACGTACGGATTCGAAAGTCGGGACGTGGGGGGGTAATCCGAAAACGAGTTGGGATGTTGAAGCTGGGGGTCAAAGGTCAAAGGTCAAGAGGTGTAAAAGAAGGGGGAACATTCCCTCCTTAACTTAAGGTATAAGGAGGAAATGCAGAATTGCGGCACAAATATAAACGGCTCGACCTAGGCTTGGGATAGTCGGTGTATAGCATCATGGTAGGAAAAGCCATTACTGTGCCGAAATTGGAGGTCACAGGTCAAAGGTCATGGGCCACAGGGCAGATTTTAGACATTTTCTGAGGACATGGTCTGACGGAGCAATTAAAAACCTTTTTGTTTCAGCGGTGACCTAGCATTTTTATGGCTTTATTGAAAGGACCATGAAATGTACTTTCCGCTGACATGTGAAGAGTAAGTGTCTGATAACTTTTTGACCCTGAAAGGTAGGGTTCAACATGGATTTGTTGACTGTTAACAAAGGACTGAACTGCTTTTGCTATTATTAGAGCCCATACCTGTGTGGATGTGAGGCTACATTTGCAGTTCAATTGCAAAGACAAAAGTTTTTTGAAGAAGGTTTACACGCCTTAAATCATATTATTTTCTAAATCAGTCTGTATATTAATAGCAACCTGAATGCTAGCGTGGCTACCGGCATCCGAAATGTAGGCAAAAACCCAGGGCAATCTATTACTGATGCATGGTGGTGAACTGGCACTTTTCTAATAAACATGCACACCTGCAATGCAGATGTGTTTAATTTATTACTCACAGCTGAGCCAAATTGTCACCTGCCTGAATATACTTGGATTTTAGCCTGTACATTTCAGCAACTCAATGGAATTAGAATCTCTACTTTCTTGACTTATCACCAATGCACGAAGGTCGATGCCATGTTTGATTATTGATTACACTTGCACGCGCCATCTCGCGGCAATTATAGGCCTAGTGATACATTATGACATGAATATATAAGACAGTCGAGCAGGTATGAAGTAGGATGCATTGTTAGGGTTTAGTCGTGACGTAGTCAATTTAAGCATTGTGTACTTCTGAATATCTGACGTGATTAGCCCAGTAAAGAATAATATTATTGTGCAAATCTGTACCTGTATTGATGATAAATAATTACCAACCTTCTTTAGATAAGTGTGTGGTGACATGTTCATAATGGCATTGTATATGTGACATACAGTAACAAAAAATAAGCAAAATACTCTTAAGCCTGGCGTACACGAGCTATCTGCTTAGAAAACAGATTCGCTAAACGCATAGCTCTTATGTACAGCAGAATAAAGATGAGTTTTCCACTTCACAAGGGAATAATAGTTTAAATATCAAACGTTTTGATATTTAAGCTATGCCTCCAACAAACTATCCTTTCTCGTGCGCAGCAGGCTTAATATACATCTGCACTGCAAAAAGATCTCTGCAGTGTATGTACACTGTTGGTGTATGTTACAGCCCATTGCCTGCAGAACTACTGAAGTATGCCAGGGAAGATACACATTACCTACTCTACGTCTATGATGTAATGAAGAATGAATTGCTACTGAAGGGAAACAGTCAGAAGAACTTGTTACTTTCAGCATTGCAGAAGAGTAAACAAATATGTGAACTAGTAAGGAATTATTGTTTTTGTGACTGCAAAGTTAGTGTAGTTATAACTTTAGCTTATTTCTAATGTCCAGCAATGTATTAGCCAGCGAGCCGTGCAGCCGTGATTGCAGTTTTGAAACTGCATGGCCAAAAATGTGTAGCACGTCCTAAAATATTGATCTGAAGACACACATGCAAAAAAATTGCACTCCCAAATATTTTTTCTGCACTCCCACACTACTCATTCCTGGCTAACACCCTGATGTCCAGCCAAATTTAATTTTATGGATGCAGTATCCATGCAGTAGTAATGAATTGAAAAACTAAGGGTGAAATATAAATAGGTGAAAGTAATTATGTGGCAGCTTGTGCTACTAAGCGATCCACATCTCAAGGTCTTATGGGGTCTTATTTGATTTTGTCATAGTTTTTCATAAGCACGTAGTCTCTTTAGAATTTTGTTTTGTAGTTTTTATAACTCAACTAAATAGTGTTCAAAATGTCAGGATTTCTAGTGTTATAAATAGAACAACTGATATTGATATGTAGATCATCTATCTCAGGATTTACCTTGCTATAGATAGGATAACTGAATTTTTATGTATAGGTATATGAGAAGCCACTGTTGCTGGAGTATCGGCATCTCGAATTATACAAACGAAGTAAGAAGCAATTCAACAACAGACAGTTGGCTGCACTGAAAAGCCTTTACGCTTGGAGAGATCACGTATGCAGGGTAGAAGATGAGAGCACAAGGTACAGTCTTACTTCTGTTAGGTCTTGAGTGATTAGAAGGAGTATTGAGAATTTTGGAACTTTGCCACAGTCAAAAAATCTTAAATGAACACAAGACTGTCCTGATTCTCAAATTTCACAAGCTTCAAATTGTTTTAGATAGTCTGCTCCACCAGCTACCATTCATTTTCATAAAGCATTGATGAATTTCCTGTTAACAGAGTCACCAGACTTTTAAAAGCAACCGGAATTTGGTTAACACAGTAAATTAATTTACCTATCTGTATTGCATGACTGATAAACAGCTCTAGCCAATGATGATTGGGATCAACCTTCTAAAAACAATACTAAGTAAGAAAGTGCTACAATGTTGAAGTTGTGATATGCTCAAATGCATATACACCTATAAACTGGCCTAGCTTTACTGACCTAGAAACTATCCAAATGGGCGTGAGTTTCGCGTTTGGATTACTATGTAAATTAGTCAGAACTCGACAACAACTGATTGTTGTTGTGTTTAGGGACAATATGAGGTAACATGCCACCGGTGGGTTAGTCATGCAGCTAGTCATGCAGCGGGTGAATTGTATCGTTACAGCTACGTTCTTCCGAACCACATGTTGCTGCAGGTGGCTGAGGTATTGCCACGTGAGATGCAGGGTATATTGGCCTGCTGTAACCCCATACCCACGCTCGTGCGGCAGCAGCTGAACGAGCTGCATCAGATCATACTGAGGGCCAGACAAGAGGCCCTGGTAAAGGTGAGATCATTACACGCTTGTATGGTGCGTCAAAAAATAATCATTTTCTTGAAAAGCATTAGCGTGAGAGGATTATTGAGAGCTACCATGTAGTAGTTGTTACGTAGTGTACCTGGAAATTTACTTTTTAACCAAACAAAAATGAACCTAAGTTAATAGGTGATTAAGAAACCGGACATCTTGATCGCATATGGTTAAAAATTCGGAAATGGCTATTAATAGCAATTTGCAATAGCCACATGTATGCTAGCTTAGTGCTGATGATGGTATTGGTTCAATTGTTTTGATTCTAATGTATATCACAAGAGCTTGTGATGGAACCCAAAAGTTTGGAACTATAGCTAGCATAATGATAATGACTCGTCAACCTTGTGTTGCAGATAAGCACAATAGTTGCCCCTGTGAAGCTACAGGTAGAAGACGTTAGGTTTAACCCAGATAGTCTATTCAACTGTCCGCACGACCTTTCTCATGGTGACCTTGAAGAGGACGCCAGCATACAGTCTGGTATGTCATGCCAGTGTGCAAGAATTTTTTAATCACTGTAATCACTACAATCAAATTTCGAAGTTAATACAAGCTGATGTCTTACATAACGTCAGAGAGGTGTATGCAGCATGAATTCATATCATTGTTGTTATTAAAAATTAATTTATTAATTTAAATTATATACATAATAATTTGGCTAATTACAAATACATATTACGTTCCTTCTTACAGAGCCTCTACTAGGTCAGATTGGCAGTGCAGTGGAATTTGTGGATGATGTGGCTCCATCTATTAGCAATAAGAAACGGTCATTGCCGAGGAAAGCTAAAATAGGAGTCTTTGCTAATGAAGTATAATATTAAATGTTATCTATTTAAGAAGTTTATTAGTCGCAGATCATATTAAAAAGTCTGTCATTAATTTTAAATGTGATATATCAATAAGGTGTTTCTACTAGCACTGTTTTGCTTACTGCCAAATAAGAGCAACTTTAATATTACACTTCCATTAACAACTGTTTGGCCCTCTTTCACAGACTGGATTAGTGGAAGATGAGCTCAGAATTGGAAGGAGGGATATACATGAAGTATTTGTTAGTCCATACCAAAGAGTAAGTGTCATTTACCACTGGTTCTATTAAGAGTGTATCATAAAATTAATGTGGTATCAAGTAGGATGATATATACACAGGCTCTTATGTAGCATGTGTCCATTGTGATACCACAGACAAGTAGAGAGTATTATGTTACTGCTGCCACTCTGAGCAACAAAATATTTCATTCAAACTGTGATAGCCTTTGTTTTGTCGGGATCTTATAACATTTCCTAGGGGGTGAGGTTCACAATGAGTGCTTTTCAATCCAGTCAATATGTGTGTACTTGATCGTTTGTTCTTTTGTCTATCTATTCTCATTTATTGTGAGCGACAACTGTGATTTTTCATCAAAATTCTTAAAAAAATATGATTTTTATATATGGTTGTTTAGTTCAAAGCAACGCAGCCACTTAAACAAAATGAAAAAGACGAAGAAAACAAAGCCGAGAAAGCTGGTATGACACCATTCGAGCATATACAAAAGGTACTATTGCGTGGGAGATTACAGAAACAAATACATTCAATATTTGAACTGAATCCATTATTAAAAGGATGTGCCTGTTACAGATATACATATGTATGGTATTCACTACATCACGCGTAACTGCTTGTCTATAGATTCTAATACGTTTCAAGTGACCCGATTTATTATGCCATAAACATTTTCAGATGAATCAGCAGTTTCGGACGCCTGTCACCTCCGAGATCGATGTGGAAAAAGAGAAAGCTATTCAATCGGAAGCGGAAGCAGCGAGAAAAATCAAGGAGCAGAAGACGGAAGATATCGTTGAAAGTCACATCAAATCTCTGCGTGAGCAGGTGCGCTGATAGCAAACAATAAATTACACAGCTTTACTCATGCAGTTTGTGGTTTGTCAGTGAAATATATGAAGCTCTGTACAAGTGCCCACCGATAATTCATAACCATCCCTCCGTTCTAAGTCATGTTATCAAAATCGCCTTTATTTTATTTCGTCAATGCCACCTCGGTAGGTAAATGGCGGCCCCTGCACGAGCGTGTGATTGCCGTGCTGTAGCTACATGTAGTGAACGCTTACAGCATGTGATCTGGTTGTTATCAGAGTATCAAGAGTAAGGTCAAACCTGTATAGGAGGGTCACTCAAGAGAAATGCCAAAGGTGGCCTTCATAGGCAGGTGGCCTTCATAGACAGGTGGCCTTCGTAGACAGGTGGCCTTCATAGACAGGTGGCCTTCGTAGACAGGTGGCCTTCGTAGACAGGTGGCCTTCATAGACACGTGGCCTTCATAGACAAGTGGCCTTCGTAGACAGGTGGCCTTTATAGACAGGTGTGCTTTCAATATAGATGGTTCCACTGTGTAACTAGCACTCTAGGGAAACGCCACGAGTGTTCCGTATAGACATAGGTTTATTCTATAGAGGGGGTTCCACTATATTACTGCCATTCAAGGGAAACAATAAAAATGCCCATTACAGTCAGGTGATTTAATGTCAGGTCTTTGAAGGTTAACGTCTTTTTATAGGCATTATATTGACGCAGTTTCACCATATAATTGCTATATAGGGGTATGACTCATAACTGTCCTTTATACACAGGTGGACATGACCGCTAATGCAGGTTTTACTGTATTTCCACCCTCTCTTACACGTTGACCTCTCGTTTCGAACCATCACTGTAGATGGCCTCTAAAAAGAAGAAACGGCCTGCGACTGACTTGCCGTTCCAGTCTGGTAGCGTGTCTCAATCACCGAACGTGTCCACGCCAAAAGCGAAGCGCAGCAAGACGGACGAAGCTGGCCCTCAGACTGACACTCTTGCATTTTCTCCCTATGACTATAGCAAGACTGACATGTCTGTCTTCCGGAGTAAGTGAAAATATGCATAATATGCTTGGCATGTACATCAGTATGACTATCAGTATTAGTGGTGTGTATGGGATCGATAATAGTCTTAAAAGTGAGTAAAAAGGTGAATTATGTCTTACTATTTGTCCAATAAAGTATAATCTGGTTTAATTTAACAGGTGGTGGGAGCAGTAAGAGTAGATCATATGATCCCTATGCTGAAGGACACGAGAAGAATCGTGGAAAGGTATGTGTGATATTCCGTGATATGAGATATAGGTATTTCAGATGGTGTCTATATGTGTAGATGTCGCCTATCAGTAGATGGTGAAGTATGATTTTTTTGAAATGGTGAGTCAATTTCTTTCAAATGGTGCTAACATGTATATATATATAATTGTATCCCCCGCGACGAAGTGGGCGGGGATACTATGGTTTCATGTCTCCCCAGCCGCCGCCGCCGCCGCAGACACTTTCCCTTCCGCTCTATAATTCGACCCCTAATTGACCTAGCGCTACCAAACTTAGTATACTTACACATCTTGGGGAGAAGGTGAGCAGCGTACCAAAACCAGCTCACTGTGACCTTTATTTGACCTTTACCTTGACCTTGATCATATTTCCTTTCCGCTCTCTAACTCGGCCCCT